ATAGTTAATTGAATTGTGCTTCTGTTTACATTTTTGCTTTCTTTTATCTCTTAAAACATAAAATGTACAAGTCTTTTGTGAACACATCTATGTATTTTGAAAAATATATATATATCCATGTCACCAACAGCCCAATCAAGATTTTTTTCTGTGGTGTCACCATTGTGTCTTCAGGGACTCAAACACTTAGAATAATGAGTCCCATAAATTCTGTTTGGAAAATCATTATGGAATTTCAAGATTGCAAGCAACCTTAAAGATCACTCTAATCCAATTAAAAGGAATAATTAGTAATTATTCTATACTCCCTTTACTTGTTTTAAACTAACATCCTAATCCTCGTATTTCAGGATTTGGTGGAGATATTCATGTTTGCTTTTTCCAAGTCATTCATTGTTTTATAGATTTCAGTATGTCATAATCTGTCATAGGAAAAACAAACAAACAATTAAAACAAACACTTCTGCCAGAGCCAGAGGTTTGCAATGTGATCTAGAGGGAAAGCTAGGAAGGAGCCCTGCTTAATTTTAATCCATATCAGTTAAGTGTCTAGTGTCTAGGAAAAAGGTAGAACCTGGAAAAAAAACAACCTGTGTGGTGGTGGTGGTGGTGATTCTGGGTAGCATTTAAAGATTTTTAAATTATATTAATTAGAACTTTTTTCCCAAGAATATTCTTCTTTAAAATAGCTATTTTTGAAAATTGTGTTAGAATCCTTAATTCCTCGGAGTTAAGAAAGCTTATTTTGTGAAGGCTAGACAGGATCTGAGAAAGGCTGGGAGCAACACAATAAGGTCAGGGATCTATTTCAAGCTCTGTGTCCAATCCATGCCTCATTCTCTTCATTGGTAAAATTAATATAAGTATGCCTCTCTCATTATCTCCCTCACAGGGTTACTTGGAGGATAAAATATAGAAAATAACTTAAGGATGTTATGCAAATATAAAACATTCTTATTGTAAAATGAAATGTACTATACATAGTTTGCATGTCTACATAAGCAAGTATATTGCCAACTTTCAGGAGCAAATTTCTCTGTCCCATACCATCGTATTTTTGTTGCATATATTATTAGAGTGGAAGAAATTTGAATATTAAACTAATTTGGCTGCCTATGTAGCTATATCTATTCAGCTCTATATTTTATGTTACATGCAGTTATTGCCTCACCTATTGCTTATTTAGTAAATGACAGATTTACCAAGCTGACTGGGCCTCTAAGCACTGTTAATTGGTTAAAAAATATTCACACACAAAAGTAGTCAACATCATGTCATACATTCAGAACTTGAAATGAGCAAATGTACTTCTAAACACTTCTTAATGACTCTATTCTTTCTTATTTTAATTGGCTCTAACCTGGTGATATTGATTAATTAATAATGATTGCTTTATTTTTCTGATACTTTTATGATTTTTTCATTCCAATGATGTTTCAATGTGCTGTTGTCCTTGTGCTGGTTGAGGCAGTTCTCAGTCTCCTTCAAGTTAACCACATCCTAAATAATCCGAATACCACTAAATTCCAAAGTAAGCTAAATGCACTAAGAATTGGGTAAGAGCAAGTCTCCCAGGATTCTGTACCCATGTTCCCAGAGTAAAAAATATTCAGGCTTCTATGAGAAAAGAAAGCAATTTATACAAATTTATGAATTAAGATGGCATTCTTATAAAGGGCAATGGAATGTTATAAGAACCTTTTCATGAACACTTCTTTGTTTACCCTACATTTTGATCTATGGCAATGATCGAATAGGAGCTCAGAGACACTAAAGTTTATCAAGCAAAAGAAAAATCTGGCATAGTATAATCACTTTATGAATGGTAGTTATCAGTAAGAATTATCACCAGATTGATTATTGCTGGAAGAAGAAGCCATTTCTTTTTTAACAACCTCTTAGTAGCATGTAACCATTTTTGCAAAACATAAAATTATTATTTTTAACCAACCATGTGGGTTGTAGCAATAGGCATCCCATCTTTCACTCCTATTGAGACGGACTCCATAATCAATAATACCAGTTCTTCCAAATCCACAGTTGGGCCCTGGTTTCACAATAGGGTATCCAACTCTGCCCTTGGCCATCCATCCTGCAGCACAGACATGAAATCCTGCAAGAGGAAGAAGGGTTATGGACTAAACTGGTAAACTCTCTCAGCAGAGCAAGGTCATCTTAACAAAGATGACTACTTGCAACAGTAAGTTTCTTAACTGCCCAAATCTAGTTTAGGTAAAAGGGAAAATCTGTTTTCTTGAAAAATAATAAAAAAAATTTGAATCACATAAAATTTAACTTTTTGTTTTTACTAGAAAACTACATCTTACTTGAAAAAAAAGATGCAGAGGGGCAAGAAATTATAATACTGTAGATACGAAAATAATCCAAATTCAGAGCTGGCTTCTTTTCACAAATGGCCTATCTAGGGCCATGAGATAATTTCTAAAATTGTAATCAATTCTGAAAAAAAAATTTCAAGTGGTGGTTTAATTAATTTCTGTTTCAGGATCAATTAAGATGTTAGTAATATTTTTAAAGATTTGAATAAAGATACATTTTCTCATAAGTTTCATCTAAAGGCTCAGCCCTGTTTCCCTTGCTCAGCTTCGGAGGCTGTTTTAATATCTGCCAATGCTATCCAAGAGGAAATTTACTAGAGGTCCAGGATAGCTAGTAAAGATTATGGCCTTTGTATCCATCATTCCAATTACTTTGCCCCACACAGACCTGTGATTACAGATGACCAGTTGTCTGGGAAGACTCTGGGGCGTTTGAGAGAACACTGTTAGTTTTGTCTGGGTAATGTATAATAATAGCATAAACTTTGCCAGATATCATCCTGACAGCAAAGGCGTTCTGAATGGGGGTGGCCCACTCTCCCGAAGTCCTGGTGAGATGGGAGCAGACAATTTTTGTATAAAGAAGCAAATAATACTAGTTAATTTCTGGGGTTTTCACCAGATCTTCCAACATCATCTTTCTAGTTTCTTTCTCCTGCTATCTTATAACCTGCCTATCCACCTTTTCCTCAAAGCTTTTGATCCTAAAGTACAAAACGCATTTGCCCACTTAATGTAAAAAAAAAAAAATTGGGAAAAAAGCCACTAAATTTGATATTTCTCCTACCAAGTAAATTTCCTTGTGAGACTCAACGTAGTACTGCAGCATCATTTACTAACTGAGGAAACCCATACTCAGAGGTCAAGTAGAGGTAGAACAATATTAAAAATGAATAGCAATGGCGCTAAAATTAATGAGAAATTTAAATGATGTTGAGGTCATTTCATTTCCTTTTGACTTTTATTTTCTTAGCTCCCACTAGGTTGTGACCTCAAGTAAGTTGCTAGTACTAGACACTTTGCGCCAGCTCTCGGCAGATAGATGGGAGAAGCCAGAGAGCAGAGATGTCCCACCTAGGGGATGGAGAGACAAGTCTTAATAAGGGTAATAGGAAAGGCGGGTTCCCCCCTCCAACCTCCCGAGGGTGAAAAAGAAGAAAACTCATTGTCCATCAGTTACCAATTTTTCTGGCTGCCTCCAGCTGCTTGTAGGTCGCAAGACGGCCGCCTTCAAACTCACACACCGCCTTAGCTTCTGCGTAGGTGAGCTTGTATCTGCCAGACCGGGCCTCTCTGTGGTACACACCTGCTGCCTGTTCTGTGAAATCACACAGGTCATAAATGCACTATTATCCATTCTTGTGCAACGGGGAAATTCTGTGGCCTCAGCTGGAAGATTACATCAGCTATTGTTCCTGCCAAAGGGCTTTCTGGGTCAGCTGCCTTGGGTGGCTACGTTTTTATTGTTAGAAAGCTTTGGAAAAAAATATGAATGAGGGGAATTTTAGGGGAATTTGGGGGGCATAGACAGAAACTACAGGCTAAATTATGTTTTTATTGACGAGATGGCCTGAAAAAAAATTTGAATACAGTATTGTATTTCTACGTTATCAAAAGGTAATAAAGTTTTGGCTTTCTTTTGGCCTTAGGTCATATAAAAACTTGGAAGAGTAAGCAATAGGGGGAAAAAAGGAGGTGAAGGCAAAAGAAACCAATGAGAATGGATTCATTATGTAGGCTCACAAAGATGGAGAAAAATAAGCCAAAATATCCATCTGAGGGAAATGACTAATGCAATAGAATTAAGTATTTAGTAAACAGAAAACTAATGAAATGTCTGAGGGAATCCAAAGCAAACAAATACTAAACTAAGAAAAAGAAAAATAGATTTAAACATAGCAGAGAAAAAACTGGACACACCTAACTACCAGTTAGTGCTGAAATTCTTTATCTGATATGTTTTTTTAGTCTACATGTTGTTCCCAACACATTTTAGGCAATGTTAGGTCATATGTGAGTTATCTTCCAATAGATCACTTATAATGGATTGTTTTGAGTTTGGAGTGCTTTCTGCCATAGAAACAATATGAAAAGATTCCCAGGACAATAGTCATAACATTAGCTCTATAGTTAGCTCTAATCGTCCTGTGTAGTCTGCCAGGTTATGGTTAAGACTTTGTACCCTGACCTGTGCAATAGCCACCATCAAGACCATTTCCAATGAGAATACATATTTCTTGGCATGCAGCAAGACATGAATCCAGAAAATGTACTTCCTGGTTCTCCTCCCCAAACTGGAGGTTGACACTGTCATAGGTCAATGGGAGACGGTGCTTGGTATTTTCTCTGTTTTTCTGCACTCCAAGGGATCCTGCTCTTGTACATTATATGGTAAAGCCTGTTATTCTCATGCTCATAGGTCAGAGAATGCCAGGAACATCAAGTCATAACCAGTCGAGTTGTTTTCCCCTTTGAAAGTCACCTGCTGCCCAGGTGTCCTTCATATGGCAAAGCCTCACTAAATTTTCATTAGTTTCCAATTTGGTTATTTTGAGCATATACCATGAAGCATTTTGCTAGGCACCATGGATTAAATCCTGTCCTCAAGGAACTTGGACATCAGTGAACATTTTGAATATATTTATCTTGAAATAGAGGAACATCAAGGCTTTTGGTAGAGAGGGGAGGCATGTTTAATATATGTATTATAATAGAGATTGTTGTTAATTATTAAAAATGTTAAAATTGTGTCTATTCCCTAAGAATATACACTAAAAGATCTTTATTTGAAAAAAATTTTCTAGGAATTATTTTAATGTATGCCACTTTTTCTCAAACTGATTTCCTTCATATTTTTACTCCAAAATTGAAATATGTTTTCAGAAAAATAAATCGAGATTTAAAAAAAATAGTTTTAAGTTTTCCTCCCAGTAATTTTTCTTAAACTTTTGGTACCTGTGAATACTTGCCTTGTAGAGCATAGTAACTGAAATAGCAAAAATTTTCTATGTTATAATTTCAATTTAATGTATTAAATATTAACATTCCACATTGTTTCTCAAAGAGCACCAAATTTCCTGGTATCTTGCCTTATGAACAAATTGAGAACTCTTGGTATATAATAGGTACTTAATTTTAAAGAAGGCATTTAAAGTAGTCCTCAATTCAGAATTTTAAGCTATTAAGATGGACCTTTGTAATGAATCTTAATTTTACCTTTCAGAAGAAATAATATTTTATTAATTTTCCTAGCCAATAGTCATTTATTTATTAAGATTAAAAATTTGTTTAACCGATAATTTTTTTTTTCTTTTAGCAAGTAGCGACAGTAGAATGTTGAATCTGCTTTCCACTGCTGGTTCTACCACGGAGGAATTGTATAACCTTGTATAACTTGATAGGCCTCAATTTCCCCATCTATCGAATAGGAATAATGATACCTCTGCACCCTAGTGGGAACTCAAGATATGTTACTTTTCCCTTCCCTTTTTTTTCCAAGATGATGACTGAAAAGAATTGCTTATCTGTGCATTTTCAGTTTTCATGATACATGTAACTGAAATCTTCTGTCCTTAAGTGGAGTTTTTTTTATTGTTTTTGTTTTGTTTCATTTAAAGTACTATTTAAGAAATTAGAGGCTACCAGAGTTAAAATAAACCTTAGGGATCCCTTACTTCTACCTTCTCATTTTACCAGTTTGGAACAGTAACCTAGAGAATTTAAAGTGTCCTGTTCTTGATAGTTGCTGGCAGATTCCTGCCTTTTAATCCAGCTCTCTTTCCTCCCTAAATAGTTTCTGATATGATATCGACCCAACCAACTGTAAACAGTGTGTAGTACTAGGCTGACTGGCCAATAATTCATCCCAGATGGAAGCAATTTGCTATTATCCCAAGCCTCAGATTTGCAGTATATTATTAACAAACATTTCAGTTTGCTCCTTTCTACCTCTGAACTTCTATTGTCCAGGTTTATATTTTTGTAATATACAACATCACTTAAAAAAGAAATCCAAATTACTTGATTTTTAGAGAGTTTGCCAGAATTTCAAAGTTTATCCATATGGGTTTAATTCTTACTAGCTTCTTGACATTTAAAAAAGTTTCTGACAAATATGTATATATGTCCTAAATTTGATTGTGTGCAATGAAAGTAAATGAAGAGATTTGCTTGTTGCTCTACTAAATTACAGATCGCATGTTGGCCAAATGGATGGCAGTGAAACTGGTTCACTGGCTCAAGCTGAAAAAAAGAGGCGGCAAGGCTGTGCATTACAAATCAGGCTTTTTAATGAAACCCTCCTGGTTGCAGTTATTACCAGAGAGAAAAATGCTGAAAGGGAAAATATTCTACAATTGTGTGCTGCTTAGCAAGCATAAAAACAGATATAGGTTAATTTGCCTTCTCTCATTTCTTCACTCTATGCAAGAATCCATCAATTTTTTCCCCAAACAATTCAAATTTTTTTTACTGTTAAACAGAATAATGAACATAAGGCAATATCAGTGTGAATCATGAGAATTAAAGCATTGCTTAGTGCACTGTAAGGGGTGTTTTGGATTTTCCGTATTTTGACTTTTTTGATCTATCGTTTATCTTTACCATTTCGCCTATGTCATTCCTTACACTTAACTAAACAACAAAAGAAACTTTCCTTGTCTAACAAAAGGGTTAGGAAAGTTAGCCATTTATATGGTTAACATGAACAAAAGGAATCAATGTGGCAAGAATGCATTCAGAAGGAGAAACATTTTTCATTTTTTTCTATATTGCAAGCTGGCTTTGTCATAATAGTCAAAAGATATTTTGGAAAGCTAAGATATACACTACAGCTCAGACCACATGGAGCAATGATTACAAAATTTTCGTAGTAATATATACCAATTTACCTGTTATGGTTCTGAAATCCGACTGCAAATGCATTGAAATAAAAAAAACATATTGGTGGTTTTAGTTTGTTAAAAAAATACTCCTCACTATGCTACCACATCTGCTTTGAAAAATTTTTAAATATTATTTTATACTGAATGTATTCATTGTTGTTTTCTATGGAACAATTCACTTTATAAAACCCTATTCTTAAATTTTAGAAGGTGAAAACACTTTTTTAAAAAAAATGCTTTACACATTCCAACGGCTATCTTTCCTAAGTGTTTTCTTTGAAAACATCATCCTTGAACAGAGTAGAAAAATTTACTGCTTTAATTCACTTCTCCATGATTTCAAAGAATCGACATTCCCACAAGAAGCTCGCGAGTGAAGTTTCTTACCAAGCCATATGGAGTTATGAAAAATTCCATTCCTGAATCCCCATCCTGCAGCCTCTTCCCACAGCAAGACAAATAAGTAAATTAAGATGGTCATCTCTCCAGTTGTAGCGAAGTAACAGTCTGTCAGGGACTGCTCACTGTGAGTTCTCAGAGCAGCGGCTGAAATGTGACTGAAACATCTGGTTTCCACATCTTTTAAATAGTTTTTTTTCAGCTATGAGGTCAGCAAGTACTCTCCAATGGCATTTTCCGCTGCAGAGTTACACAATTATCTCAGTGTCTGAAGCAAATCCTCTGACTCATTTGCATTGGCAACCAAAACTAAGGATATAGAATGATCATCTACGTTTTAAAATTCACTTTCTCAGAAGGGAGTTCATTTGTTCTGTCAGTCACAAATGGTTTTCTGTTAGAAAGTTTGTGTAACTTGCTGTGGATTCAGCAGTGATTAAAAGAAAGCCAATCTTCAGTAGGAATTTCAAGAGAAATCCTGAATTATGGGGTGTGGGGTTTAGGATTAAGCATTAATCTTTAACTTGGCCCTGGTAATGTTGCATTAATTTTCCCTAAATGTTGTCAAGCCTATATAGAAAATTTAAAACAAAAAGTGTGCACAGTTTTGCAAACCCTAAGCTTTCTCTAGTGATATAGGACTTCCTAATTCTCTGTCTACATTTGTCCTGGGATGAGGTCTGTTGCAGTCTTTGGTTTGTTATGGTCAGCAGATAACTAAATACATCAGCTTCCAGAAAAGTAGTTCAATTTCAGAGCCTTAGGACATCCCAGCAGCTTTGGGGTATCACCTTATAACACAAATCTCCCCAGGCAACAAATCCTTGAAGTGTTGGGATAATGAGGGGTAAACAATAATAAAGTTAACAGAAATATGACCCTAGCTTCCCCAGACCCCTCTAACTTTGAAGAAGATGATCAAAGTATTAATAGGTAATATTAATAATCACCACAGTAAAGTCATCATGTATTCAAATAACCCCAAATTTTCCTCTCCTTTTATGTAGAGTGGTTGGGTAACACATCTGGTTATAGTCCCATGGCTACTGATGCTGTTCGATTGATAGTCATTTATTGGCAGCTTTTTTTTTCTTTTTTTTTTTTTTTTTTTGAGAGTGATCCTCTATCTCAGCCTCTCAAGTGGCTGGGACTACAGGCATGCCACCAGGCCCAGCTAATTTTTTTTTGAGAGAGGGTCTCACTGTGTCGCCCAGGTTAGAGTGCAGTGACACAATCATAGCTCACTGCGACCTCGAACTCCTGGGCTCTGGTGATCCTCCTTCTCAGCCTTCCAAGTAGTTGGGACTATAGGCATGAGCCACCATGCCTGGCCGAGTGTCTTTTATTGGTCATTCTTTGCTACTTAGCTTCTCTACTCTTGGCGCCAAACTGCTTCCCATTCACTCCCATGATAGCACTCATTTCTCCCATGCTTTCTTAGTTCCTCATTGATATCGGACTCCTTTGAAAAAGCCAACTTTGCAGACATGCTCTGCTCTGAAGTCGACCTTGAACCCCTTAGGCATCTTTGCACTGAGCATCTCAGGTTTGTCCTGGCCTCATCTGTCCTCGAAAGAGCAGTTGTGGGGATGTGGGCTGAGGGTATAGAGTTCACTGGACGCTCACTGAGGCATGTATGAAGTTACTAGGGTTCAACATCTCTATTTTGGGCCTGTGGCAAAAAGGAGATGAGAGAATTGTGGCCAAGTTCACAGATAGGGTTATCGAATTGAAGTTTGGTACAATAGAGAATGTTATAATCTAGCACAGGACCAGATGGGTGTGACTGTGGAGAAGACAGGCAAGGTAAGTGAGAACATTATGAATAAATAGTTAGAAGGAGCAAACCATGAGATTTCTCTGGAAAGTGAAATCATATGAGTATGTTATGAGTATTTTAAATTTGTTATTTAGGAAATAAATATAACTTACACAATGCTACAGCAAAACCGTTATAGCCTTCTGCATTCTTTGCCTGGTCACATTCTCTGGCTGGGCCCTTTCTACATCTCTCTCAAGCACCTAATTTCCCCCTAGTTCTCATTTATCAAAAATTACTCTCAGGAAAGACTTTGCAATTAATCTTTACTTAGGTCAAATAACAGATATCCTTCTGTGTTCATTTGCATTTTAATGAAGCTCCAAGTATAGCAGGGTGTGAATGTTCAACTCGTTTTAAGAAGAAAATTTGATGAGTGTCTTTGATGAATTAACCCAATTTAGGGTGGAGGATTTCTTTCTCTCCTCTTCCTTAGGCAACTCTCATGCAGAATATAAATACTTCCCCTTACCTCTACCCAGTGTTTGAAAACCTTGTCTTCTCTGTCACCAAGGAAATAAAAAACAATGCCTAATGATGTGGGCTCTGGTTTTGAGGGGGTATTCAATTTTATTGTGGAAGAAAAAAGGTAATGGTGTTTTCATATGGCAAGTTGCAGAGGGTAATCCAGGGGAGGACAAGAGAAGGAAGAAAAGAAAGAGTAGCAAAGGAAGTGTTGCCTATGGACTTAATCTTGGAAGTTGCCTAAGGAGTGCCCCCCACTCAACCTCCAGTACACACCACCAAGGCTGAGTCTCATGAAGAGAGAAGATACACTGATAAAAGCTCCTTTCCTCCCCCAGTGTCTTGATGTGTGGGTCAAGGTGTGCAATGGCTCCTTTCGCACCTGCCGCCACTCACTGAAAATCCAGCGAGACTGTACTTTTTGTAGAGGCAGCTCCTCTTTTGGTTGCTTTTCCACAATGCTCCAGTGCCCCTAAGCCTAATAAGTTATTAGATACCTTAAATCATGGTGGGGAGAAGTCCACATCTGAACTGGGGTAGGGCTGCACTGAACAAGCTCAAGATCTCCTATGCTGGCACAGGGGTTTAGCAATGTCACTATTGCACAAACTCAACTAAAAAAAAAAAAGAGACACTAAAGTAGAATTTCAAACACCTGACTGAGGTTGAGAGAAGGTATTTATTTATTTATTTATTTTAGAGACAGGCTCTTTGCTGCGTTGCCCAGGCTGGTCTCAAACTCCTGGGTCTGATTATAGTTGATTTGAATAGCAAGACATGATGAGAAAATGCAATTCTTTGGCACACAGTATGAAAATTAAAATTAAACCATAATTTACATCCTGTATTGATTATATTTTGTAATCTTGGAAAGAGAAGGAAAAAGCATGATGAAGAGATAAGAAAAGAAAAGGGTGGAGCTCAGCGAATTACAAAATATGTCAACAGAGGACATCTTTAACACTGCCAGTAAGGACATGAAATTACAATACAGGAATCTCCCACCCACCCCAGGATCTCCTCATGGACTAGGATGAGAATAAACACAATAGAGGAAGTAAAATCCATTCCCTTTGAATATGATTTAAAATGATTGAGAGAAACTCTTATGCATGGCATAGAACAAGGTAAAAGAAATGAAATATATGGCATTCTAGTTGTTAAATTCAGAGTGTAGACTTTTACAGGGCCAGTGAGCTGGATGGAGCCTAAAGAGAACATTGGGAAATCTTTGGAAAAGTGAAAAATTGAATTATTTTGTATCAAAAAGCTTTTAGACAGTGAATATGAGCCTATGCATAACACTGAACAGAATAATGTGCTTTCAAGTTTATGGGTAAATAGATGTCAGAAAGAGATCTGAAACTGACATCGGACTTTCTCCATAGTTATAAGGTGTGATAGTCCTTGGTAATGTTCACCAAATATTTCTAGCTCTCTCCCTTCCAGAAACATGGTAGCATTGTACTCATGGCCATCTGTGGTTTGGTGGGACCACATGATTATTTTTGGCCAATAAGATGTGAGCAAAATTATGTATGTCATCTGAGAGATGAGGATTTGATTGCTAATGCTTCAGAACTCTTTCTTTCTAGCATGGAGAGAAACATTTGTGATAGTGGCTGCTCTATCACCCTGAATCCCTGATTGACTCCTGGATGTTATATAACAGAAATAGACTATCAACCTCTGTTGTTTTAAATCATTGAGATTTTGAGGTCATTCATTACTGTTAGCAAACTTAATCTGTCCTGATTTATTGGAAGAAGTGAGCTAATAAGAATATTAAAAGCAAAGGGGACTTCAGAAGGTTGGGGGTCTAGTGACATTCAGATGCAAAAATTAAGACAAGGAGGAGAAAGACAAGAGGAGGAAATGAGAATAAGGAAGAGGACACAGTGATTAATGGACTTAATATCCTTCCTCTTCCCAACCCCCTCAGACTTTTATTATAGCGCACAGCTCCTCCATCTTGCTGTGATTTGCCTTTCCAAATTTATCCACCAGTACTCCTCCATATGCAGTCCTTCCTGTTAGACTGCTCCCTATATCTTGATCAAGCTTGAAAACTTCTGCCCCCCTTTCTCTGCCTTTTGCCTTCCCTTACTAGTCACAGAACTCAGTGTTGGGAACTTAGAGATCAACTGGCTCAAATTCTACCTGTGTTGTGGATCCCTGCTATGCTGCCCTTACTTACGTGAACCCGAAATCCTTTTAAACTTTGGCTCACTTTTGTTATGGAGGCCCACAGAGTAAGTCTTACCTACATCTGTTTTCAGGAAAAATGACTACGATCTATAAAGGCTGGACCAAAGAATCAAGCACACGTATTTGCAAACAAATGTAAAATATGCTCACTTAAAATTTTCCCTTTATTTTTTAAATATACATTCTAAAATATTAAGTTTAAAGCGATCCAATCTTGATAAAGGAAAGATACATGTAAATATATGTAAAGGGATATATACACTGTTAACTAAAAAAAAATTTAATTAACGGGGTTTATACTTTGGACAAAGGAGAGCTTTATTTCTCATATAGGGTAGCAACCTGCAGGGCGGCCATTCCAACAGGTCGGGAAGCAGAGCCCTGGCTGGAAGTCAGGTACAGGTGCTTCAAAGAAGAGACAAAAAGGCAACAGGAGTTTATAATGAGCGGGGTGGTCAAATACACATATTCAAAAAGCTATAGGAGGAGTCACAAATGTTTATGAAAGGAAATCATGTAATTGTGCTTTATGTCTCTCATCCCATCATGGCTGGGAACTAACTCAGTTTTAAGACATTTCTGGGGCCCCCTTGCTGAGAGAGATCTATTCAGTTAGCAGAGGGCTTAGGATTTTATTTTTAGTTCACAACACAAATGCCAAA